CGCCCCGGCCCCTCGCCTCCCCGCTCCCTGCCAGGAGTTAAACACGAGCGCCAGATCTCCGCGGGAGCGCAGCGCGGGTGGCGGGCGCCCCGCAACACCGCCGTCCGACTGCTCGGAGCTCCGGAACCCACCCTGAACGTCGTCAGTGGCGAAGCAAACAGCTTAAATCAAACCGTGGCTTTACATTCACACAGGAGGTGGTTTGGGTACTTGCTTAAGCCAACCCTTTTCACGTTAAATAAGAACAATTAGCGAGTTTAAGCTAAAAGCAACATCGTGTTTTCTTGCTTTTACAGTACTTTGCTACTTAAAGAGAATTAAGTAGTCATGGAAGACTTATGCTAGCTTCATAAAATAATCTAAAATTGTACCGTCTTCAAGGGTGACTAAAAAAATATCAGTACAGTATAAAGCATAATTTAAATAAAGACCTAAACATTCTTAAGTAAAGCATTCATTAAATCAAAAGCAGGTTGATACCCCTGGAGAAAAAAGTTCCTCTTTTCAGTGTATCTCAACCTGTCTGTCCGGGAGCCCTCGGCACGGCCATACCAATTCCTTCTAGGAGGCGAGTAACCCCATGGCGATGAAGGGTTGGAGACCACTCGTATCGCCCAACTGGCAGGCTGCTGGAGGGACGGACCGCTGGCAAAACCAGCGCAGACGCTCTGCTCCTGCACCACTTTGAAGGACTTCATTTTAAGACTACTCACAAACTCAAAGATGCAGATTACAACAAAGAATCAAGTAGATGAGATTATAAAAGGGAGTTATTTTCAGTGAGGAAATTAATACAAAGCCTTAAGTTTCCTGTGTAAACTACGTGCCTTTCACTACACATTTTTATGATCATCATGCATCATGCAGTTCATCATGCATCATGCAGTTCAATATGAGCAGTTTTGAAATATCCCTGGGCTAAGCATTACTGCTGAAAGCAATGGGGGCAAAGCATCTTTCACCAAAAAGGTCTCTCGCACTGAAAGATGTTGGCTAGACAGTCAGAATGGAGTTAATTTGCGGAGAGGATAAAGCAGGAGTGCCATCATTTGTAGCTCGGTTTCCTAGGGAAATTGCTTGCAGACAACTACACCGTAGTTCATGTGGATGGATGCGTTTCCTTAACAAATCATAAATTTATTTACTGATTTCAACTAAGGAAAATGAGGAGATCACATTCACACACATTTAATGGAAACAGGGATTAAAGCAGGAAAGAAGGAGACTGTTGGTGCACTTACTGAAGAAAAGACTAGTTGAGGCCAATCCTTGTCAGCGACCAGAACCCAGACACAGGATGCAAAGCCAGGGGAAGGTAACTTTAGGCAGCTTCCATTCTGGCAGAACAATTCCCGGTATTCTGCCTGCCACCAGGAGCTGGAACCAGCAATCTGTTTTACACAGACGTTTTTGAACATTTCCCCATCTCCAAAGTTTCACAGAGGCCAGGAAATAATTGCTTTAATGTAATCAAAACCCATATAACCCACAGATAATGTTTTCCATTCTGAAATTGCTTGAAAGAACATAACTGAAGTCTGCCTACAGCCATTCATCAGCCAGTCCCAGATGGGCCTCTCGTGCATGAGATTTCCACTGAACGCTAATTCCCTCCTTGGCACTGAAGAGAAGGGGTTCCCTCCCTCACACAACTAATGGACTGTCAGATTATGCATTCTGGGTAGCGAAGGGATGACAGAGAAGAGCAAATTTACAGAGGAAAATCACAGTTTTGAATAACAGTAGGAACACTATACCAAGCACATATAGAACTACACTTTAAATTACACTGAAAAAAGCTTCATTTCTTAAATCAGTGGAGTGGTAATACATTGGGGTTAGCATTGTTTTCTGTCATTGGCTCAGGGTCTTTTTAAGGTTTTAGGGAAAAAAAAATCTTAAAGTTCAAGTCCTATTTTGAAGCCCACTGCAGCCTCATCTTAGGTGGACTCTTATGAATATTCAAGTATTTCCCTCCTCATATGTTATGATTATTTTGTCCAACAACATTATCTGCAGAGCACATCAGATTAATTTTCATTTGGGAATACAATTTTGGGTAGTATCCTTCCTTGTCGTATGTATTTGTAGTTTCATTCTAACAGAAATAAGTATTTCTGTTAGAAGTAAGGGACAATCTTGTAAGTTTCATAGAACTATTGGCTGACTACATTTAATGTTCTTTTTACATAAATCATTTAGGACTGAGCTCCACAAAATACATCTCACCCCGCCATAATTTGCCTTTATGTGGCTCTTAACATAGTAAAAGCTGGAGGAGTCGACTCAGTTATTGAATATACTTGATTATCTAAGATCCAGAAAATCCTGGTTATCTGTCTCAGCAGGGGGAAAGAACCCAATTTCAGAAATAATAATGTCATAGGATTACTGTGTATAACATATCGCTATTTTGACCGTAAAGTGTTTCCATGACAGACATGCAAATATACAAGGCCAGATGACTTCAACAATGGTACCCATGCTTTTGATGAAGCAGTTTGCATTATCTCATCTGATCCCCTCTTTTATCATATGTAGATGAGACCTCTTATGCATTCGCATGGTTTTAACATTGTCACACGAGGATACTCATTGCAACTACATAGTTTCCAGATGCTACAGAACAGTAAAGCATCCTATTCAAGAACGTGCCCAACAGGAACTTAATGCGCTTGCATTCATATTAGAAACTAACAGAAAATTATGCATGTTATGCCACGTAGTAGGTAGTAGACAGGTCTCAAGTCTAGAGCTAAAGTACACTCCAAAGAAAGTGAATTTTTTAGGGTTTAGTTTTACCTTTCTTTTTTTGGGGTGGGGTTTACTTTCTAAACAGCGTATTTATGCTTTCAGTTCTTCTGTGCTTATACAGCACTAGTTATAACTTCCAGACCCATCATAAATCACAAGTAATCCTACCCTAGCTGCAGGTCCTGGAGAGCTGGCACGTGTCAAACAGAGGCTTCTGAATGAAATATGACCTTTAATCAAGTTTCTACAGCTTATAAGAACAGAGAACATAAGAGAGGCCATGCTGCTCAGACTGAAGGTCCACCTAGCCCAGTTGCCTATCCCCAAAATAACAACCCAGTATAGTGTCTGTTCTTTTCAGTTTAATCTCTCGTATGTTCTCTATGTAGTGACTATGCAGTGGGATTCTGGAGAGCTGAGATGGGCTGGCCCTGTGCCTGTTCCTGGTATCGCATTGTTTCCAGAGTAAGGAGAAAGAACAATCGGTGGCCAGTATGGGATGCTCAGGGAAGTATGCAAGACCCAGGCATGAGCAGTCATCCTGTATCTGGTATATTCCCCCTTCCACCAATAAGAAATTTAAGAATCTCTCAAGCAAGAAGTTGCATTTGATTATTGTTCTTAATGGCTATCAAGGGCTTACCCTTTATGAATTTCTGTGGTTCGTATTGAACTGTTTTAACTACTCAGCAGTTATACATGTAGAGATCATGTAAAAAGAGTCAGCAAGTAATGAAACAGTTTAATACTGTCAATGGAGCAAGCATATTCCATGAGGGCAACCCTTTGAAAGTCAGTGTAAAATTAAGGTTTTACAATATGGAACGTACTGCCCAGGGTTTCATGGCTAGTTTGCTACTATATGCAAATGGTTGCCTCTTGGTTGTTGGGCAGACCAAGAAGAATGGTTAAAGGTCAGTTTCTCTCTGCATTTGCCTTAGTAGGACCCGGGGTCTTCTACCCAGACTCTTATTTTCATTAAACTTGTAGGTATTTAGTATCTTTGAGTCAAGTACCCTCTGTTAAATTAGATTAAAATTGGAAAATACATTTAGAAGTTATTGGAAAGACAGACAATCAGATGAACTGGTAGTGAAACCACATAAACATATCTTCCATAATGAAAAAACTGAATAAAAGCAGTTATAAAAGGTATTTGCCATAATATTTTTCCAATTGAAGTCGATGGATATGAAGCTACTGGCTTCAAAGGAGGACCAAAGTATAACCCATCTAGTGTCCCTTTGGTAATATTTCCAGCACAAACGTCACAGCCTGTCAAAATAATTCATATTACCTGTGGAAATTTTTCATTAAGTTCCACAAGAAAAATTGTTATTTCAAAGTCGAGAGATTTTTCTTTCTAACATTGTTTTGTATTAATCTCCTCTTTTTCAAACTGCACAAAATATTCTAACTAGCTGTATAGCTCAAGGCAATTCCAAAGTTTACATTCATTGTTGATGGTGATTGAAGTGATGGTTATTAGAGACCTGAGCAGCTGCATTGCCATCAGGGTCCTGGCTCAGAACTGAAAATTGAGGGGTTGCTGAGCCCAAGCTGAAGTTCAGAACAT